TATCTGGAAATGTCCTAATTTCACCATCATATTTGAGGGACAATTTTGCTGGGTACATAATTCTTGGTTGGAAATTTTTCTCTTTCAGGGTTTTATATATACCATTCCATTGTCTTCTTACCTGCATGGTTTCTGCTGAGAAATCTGAGCTTATTCTTATTGGTTGCCCCTTTTAGGTAACTTCATTTTTCCCATGCTGCTCTCAGGATTCTTTCTTTGTCTTTGAGTTTGGTGAGTTTGATGATGATATGTCTTGGCCATTTTCTTTTGGGGGCTATCCTGTTTGGGGTTCATTGGACTTCCTGAATGAATATATTCTTATATTTCATCATATCAGGACAGTTCTCTTCCAACAAATCTTGGACAATTTTCCCAGTGGTTATATTTGTCTCTTCCCGTTCTGGAATTCTGATTACACGTAGGTTATTCCTTTTGATGGTATCCCACATGAACCTTAGGCTTTCTTCATTTAGTTTTGATCTTTTTTCTGATTGATCCCTTCCAAAGAAGTATTCAGGTATTGGTCTTCAATGTCATTAATTCTGCCTTCCATTGCATCAATTCTACTCCTTTGCCCTTTCAATGTGTTATCTATTTCTGACAATTTAGTAGTAATCTTCTGAATTTCTATGTGTAGATTTTGAATCATTTCTAATTTTTCATTTATTTTGTCATTTTATTCTTATATTTTCTTCCAGAATTCTTCTAGGGTTTTGCCTGTGTTTTCCTTGATCTGTCTCTCAATCCTTTGAAGATACCTAAATATAATTCTTTTGAATCTTTATCAGAGAGTTCCAATGCTGCATCTTCCTCAGGGATGTGTTTTGGGTCTGTATCCTGGTGCCTTGTTTCTCCTGCTTTATCTTGCTTCTTTGTGTGGACTGTGATGCTCTATTGTCTCTGAGGCATTGTGACATTTTTGTGTTTATATTTAATTGGTGATTGCCCATGATTTTCATTTTCTTTGTATGTTATGTACACAAGCAGAGTACTGTGCTATGCTCCTCTATTCACTAGTTGACAGCACTTATACACTCACCACCTGTCTCCTTTCCTATTTTCAGCCTCTCATATGTCCCTGCCAACCTTGGTAAACAGAGCCTATTCTCAGGTCCCTGGAATCTGAATGAGAATGCCATCACTTTAAAATCCAAAATGGTTGCCACTTGTAAAGATTCAAAATGGTTGCGCCCTCGGTCACTTTAAATATCCAAAATGACTGCTGCTTGTAAACAATCAAAATGGCTGTACCCTCTGGACAGTGGGAAGTCAACAGCTCATATTGTCTCCCTCCTTGCTGTTTCCCTTCCTAGTCATAGGCCACCAACACAGTCATCCCTGCAGCCCTAGGTTATCAGGACTGATCTTTAGGTCAATTCTCAGGTCCCAACACCACTTGGAAATATTCAGGCTGTTGGTCTTATCAGAGTAGCTGACAGTCTGCAGCTCCAACCGTCTCTGTACTCACTGTTTTTGTTAGGTTTTTCCACTTGTTGGTGCCTAATCCACTTCTGCATAGTTTCTTTCAAAGCTCAGGGCTCCAGGATTATCTTCTGCATGTCTGTAAATTGGCTTTTCTTTTCTTTGTTGAAGAGGGTCTGTGTAGCTTGTCTGTCTAGTCCTCCATCTTACCGGAAGTTAAACAACTTTTCTTTATCTTCAAAACTAGTAGCCCTTTCTGGGACTTGGTTTCCCCACCTTGTCTACCTTTAATAGGCTGTGGGGGGATTAAGTGTGTCACCATATTAGAGTGTGGTAGGAAGAACTCTGGATTTAGTATCTGAAGTTCCATACTACAGTCCCAATCCTGTTCCTAAATGAATGACTTCAGATTCCATCTCTAGAAAATGGAGATAATTCTGTGACATCTATATCCACTTGGTAAAGTGGAGGGTCAGTGAAAAAGGGAAAGACTCTCAATGAGATGGATTTACACAGTGGCTGCAATGATGGCCTCAGGCATAGCAAGGATTGTGAGGCTGGAGCAGGACCAGGCAGTGTTTCATTCTATAATACATAGGGTCACTATGAGTCAAAGCCAATTTTACAGCACCTATCAACAACAACATGCAAAGTAATGTAAACTGTTTTGGGAGATTTGGTTTTACTTTGAGTGAAATGAGAAGCCCTTGCAGTGTTCTTGGTGGAAGAGTGACATAATCTAACTCATGTCAGGGTAATTGTGGCTTCTGTTTAATGTTGTTGTTGATAGGTGCTGCCAAGTTGGCTCTTACTCAAAGTAACCTTATGTATAACAGAATGAAACTTTGCCAGGTCACAATTATTGCTGTTTGAGCCCCTTGTTACAGTCCTTATGTCAACCCATTTCATTGAGGGTCTTTCTCTTTTTTGCTGACTCTGTACCAAGCATGATGTCTTTCTCCAGTGATTGGTTCCTCCTGACAACATATTCAGAGTAAGGGAGATGAAGTCTTGTCATTCTTGCTTCTAAGTACATTCTGGCTATACTTCTTCTAAGACAGAGTATTTGTTCTTCTGCCAGTCCATAGTACATTCAATAATCTTCACCAACACCACAATTTGAATGCATCAGTTCTTCATCAGCCTTCCT